AGAAAGAGCTGAGATAATCTTAAATTAAAAAAGAAAAAAAATCCATAAATCTTTTTAAAACTGTTTTTTTGTTTGTTTGTAACATGTGAGTACATACTATACATTTTTTTAGTGTAAATATTCACAGGAAAAAAGATGTGGTTTACAGGAGGAGTGTATGTGAACACACCTCTTTGGCTCTCTGGACTCTGGCCCGTAGGGAGCAAAGTTCCAGAGCAGCAGCAGACTGGGCTTCCTAGCGCACAGGGCCCAAGGACAGGACTCCCTCTGGCTCAGGTCTAAGGGGAGCATTAGTAAAGAGTGAGGGGGCAGAGCAGAAAATTCCACTTGGCCATGGCTTTTTAATTTTCCCCCATCACCCAAAAAGCCTTTTCCTCCTCCCCATTTCTGGCTTCCCCTCTCATAAGCCTTTATTCTTTACCTTACCCCACATATACTCAATCTTCTGACCAATCTAAAGATACTTTAAGTCAGAAGTAACATGAGGGGGAGGGAATAGCTCAAGTGGTAGAGCCCATGCCTAGCATGCACAAGGTTCTGGGTTCAATCGCCAGTACATCCTCTAAAATAAATAAACCTAATTACCTCCCTCCCCTCAGCCAAAAAAAAAAAAAAGTAACAGGAATAGAAGCCACTTGTTCAAAAATATTTGAGTGTCTATTATATAACAGGTACTGTGTTAAGTGCTAAGAATATTAGTAATACAGGGTTTCTGTCCTCAGATTGATAAGAAAAGTTAGGAAATTTATCAACAGTCACACAATAAACAGCAGTACTGGTATCTGAACTAAGCTCTGCTGGTGTATAACGTAATACTTTTGGCTACACTTGAGTTACATTCCAGTTTTGCTTCACTTTGATTGGACTTGCATATGCCCAAAACCTCTCAGGCATAAGCGCTGTAGAATGAGTTATATTTATGATTAACTATGGTAATCTTATCCACCATGTATTGGTTACATTGTGAATTTTAAGGACACATAACCCTGATATGCTGATAGTTCTAAATGTTCTTTAAATAGTAAGAAATTAAATGTAGTTGTAATAAATCTTGTTTCTTCCATTAAATTGTGAGCTTAAGACAGCAGTCTTGTTTTCTTAAAATCTTTATTCTTCGATTGGCACTGAAATGGAGCTCAAATTTGTTGAATAAATGAAACCATTTCTCAAGGTGGGAGGGTATATAGCTCAGTGGTTGAGTGCGTGCTTAGCGTGTATGAGGTCATGGGTTCAATCCCCAATACCTCCATTGAAACAAACAAACCAAATCATCCCCCTCCAAACACACACACACACACACACACACACACATATACACACACACACACACACACAAACAGCAAAAAGAAGCCATTTCTCTTTATAGCTAAAAAAAATACATACAACTTGAAAACCTTAAATCAAAATTGGCAATATTATGAAAGGCCACAAAATAAATTTAATCTTAATTTGTAGAGAATAAAACTAATTTTCACTGTTAGATGGCTTCTTAAGGGCTAGATCCAACCTTCAGTTTGACGTGTTGCAATGTTTTGAAAATTTAAAAAATTCACATAAAAACTGATTTCAGGCTTCTTTTGAAAAAGTCAGATCAGCAACACTGAACTCAAATTTCCCTATGATAAGATAGCTTTCACCGAGGATCAGCTTTCTCTTTTAGAAAGTGCCTGTGCACCCCATTTCGTATTATTTCCGTCACACCTGGCCTATTTCATACTTTAATGTTACTTATCTGGTTCTGGTACAATACCTGTGTTTGCATTTCTTTGGATTACAGAGAATGACAGTAAAGCATGGTAAGTGCTATGTGTGGGGAAGTATAGTGTATGGGGGAGTATAAGGTGGGAGTGTGGTAAAAGTAAGCATCCTTCTCATTTACACTTGCAATGTGAGAATAGTTACTCCAGGTACATTATGAGCTAAAACACGATCATGTAGGATAAACTGGAAATGCAATACAAAAACTGGATCACAACTTCCCATAGAAACAAATAGGTAAAAATTAATTTCCAAATATATCTTAAAAATAAAATAAATTCCTAAGTTGGATACTATGATTATTTTGAAAGGTTCAAAAATTAAGACTAAGAGTGCCGGATGCCAAGAAGTGGAATTTGCACCTGACTTAGTAAGTGCTGGAAGTCATTGTAGTTTCTCGATCAGAAGGGAGAAATGAGCAGCCAGGATGACCTAGAGAAGAGAGACAAGTCACTGCTGGCAAAAAGGCCAACTAGAAGTCTCTGCTGCAATGACTTTTGGCATGTAATGAAAAATGTGAGCTATTATTACCCAGGCAATGAAGGTGATGGACCAACCGACTTCTAATTTCACTTTCAGCTGTGAAATCTAATTCTCTGAATCTTTCTGTTTTACTTAGAGGACAACATAGTTTATGATATATTCATCTCAAAGGGAGACTTCAGTGCTACTACAGTCATACTGACAAAGGAGTGCTGCTAACAGGACACAGGAGTCTGATTATGGAGAGATGGATGAAGTAAGAGTGTTTCTTAAAAGCAAATGAACAATGAGAACTTTACATAAAGACTTGCAAATCATCACATGTAGATAAAGATTGATACAGGGAAAAGGAAAATAAAAAGAACAGATAATAGGAAGAAAACCCTAACAGCACTGTATTACAGGACTTTTGGAATTTCAAGAACTATGAATACAAAGATATCAAGAAGATGAGAATAATGTATAGACCACCAAAATGGCAAGGAGATCACCATAAGCTGAAAGCAGTGGGGATCGAGGCCACATGGCAGGAACAATGTGTACATAGACTTTTCTCCTGTATAGAAAGCACTTTCACAAATCTATGGAATTTAAAGAGAAAATAAGCAGTAAGAAACTGGAAGTAAAGTTTAAAAGTTACAGACAAATTGACTTAAGTATAAGACAACAAGGAAGAAACAAGAAAAGCTAGAAGACAAAGGCTTTTTTAAATACTGGACAAAAAGGGGGAGAAGGTGGAGAAAATCAAAATTCCCAAAGTTTATGTTAACAGAGAGTGAGATTATATACATGTAGCTTTCTGAGAACCCAACATAAATGTTACCTTATGACTGTAATTTATAAAAGGCTCACAAAAACCATCTTGTTCCAAATCCTTATACTTTATTTAAATGTGCTATCCATACATACACACATATACACACAGGAAAAAAATACGAAAAAATTACAAAACAAGAACAGATATGAAAAAAGAAAAGGTAGACAGGAAAAGCTTCATTAGAAAAATAGTTATTGAACTAAAGAAACTCAAATTCTGGGATAATCTCTATAAATGGGTACCTTTGAAGGAAAAATTAGTGAACTGTAAGACAGTATTGATGTTCTTCCCCTTAGATCTCCACAGCTTTGCATCCTCATTTCCTTCATGTCTTACTTCACGGTCACCTTCTCAGTGAGGCTTTCCTCATCCATCTTACTTAAAATTGCAAACCATTCCCCCACATTTTATCCCCTTCCTGTCTACTTTTTTTTCCCAAAACACGGACCACTATTCAACATACTAAATTATTTTACTTATCATATTTAATCAAATCTAAAACAAAATCAATTTTAGAAAGTATAGTTTACATACCACTAAGCCAAGAAAAGTCCTGCCGTTTAAACTACAACACCAATGATGTGCTTGTCCACATTTTAACATCTCAGAAATCAGGATGCATCTTGGAATTGAGGAAATATGTTATCAGGTACTGTATACCTCCCCAACTTGAAGGCAAGTCCATGAAGACAGATATTTTGACCATTCGTTCAAGGTTTTTAAACATTGCTTAGCATTCATGGTACGTGCCCAATAAATGTGATATGAATAGCTGAATGAATGATTGAATTAATAAAAGCACAACAGTTCTGACAAATGCAAATAACTTTAAGTTTACACCTAGAAATAGAAGAATAAAACTGCAAAACATCAAGGATAAAGAGAAAAGCATAAACATTACCAGAGGAGCCTAACAACTCACAAACGAATGATACTCGGATTGACTGCAGACTCCAAGGCAGCAACAATAGATGTCAGAAGACAATGCAGTACTATTTACAAAATGCTAAGAGAAACTAACTATCAAATTAGAATTCTGTATATTGACAAATCATCTATTTGAGAATAAGCAAGAAAAAATGCATTTCAAACAAAGGCTAAGAGAGTATTACCCAGAGATCCTAGTTGAAAGAGAAAGTAAAAGTATGTACTAAGTAAAAGTATACACTTAGCCAGAAAAAAACAGATCCCTTTTTAGGGAGGAAATAGGCTGTAGGAAACAATACTGGGCAAAGAAATTAGTGAAATATATTGGTAATTTAACCAACTCTTGACTGTACAGTAAGTGCATATATGTTTTGTTTCTGGAATTTAAAAAAGCTTAATTGAAAATAGATTTGTGAATTATTGGGATGCCTGTCAAGCCTATAATAAGGTATTCATTCCAATTAGTTTGGAGAATCTTTATATATTTGATTGCATGATTTCAGTTTTAAACACTAAGTTTTTCATTACCTACAAAATACAACAAAATATCTCCTCCTCCCAAATCTGCAATTACCATCTTTGGTGTTATGAAGAAGTACCTGCAAAGAGCTTGGGTCATACTTGCATCTTTTACATTTGGATCCGTAGTAAGGCTCCTGATGAGAACTGTAATCATCTGAAGAGGAATGTGCTGCACAAGACTTGCCAATGCTACAGAAGGTTCAAATGATGCATCTATTTTTTTAATTAAAAAGAAAAAGGAATATGGCAAGAAGGTTCAAGTGAAGTATTTAGAGAGAACAACAGTTTACACCCCCTCCCCTCCCACCCCAAAATGTAACTGCAGCAAAAGTGTTAATCAGGAAGCAGTTGTTAGGTTCCACCTTATGGACTCTAGCGTATGAGCAATGTTAAATTGCAGAAATGAGAGATAAAGAGTCAGTGGCAATGATCGCTCATCCTATAAGCAGAACTACTGCAATATAAAATCTGTTCTTGGCTATCTCCATATTTAGTCCATAAATTACTTTATTTTCTTGCATTCTCTAATATTGTTGTTGCGGCAAAATATTCATTTGTAAAGCAGCAGTCAGAAAAAAAATGTAAGGTATAACTTAAATTCCCATTTTAGATCCTCCAGAGTAACTTACAACTACTAAATTACAGTAGTCATTACATTGCTTTAAGGAAAATTTTTTAAAATCTCTTAAAGAAATAGAAATTAAGGTGAATTTTAGGGGGACTTTGCTTAAACTACATAAAAATTAAGCAAATCCAAGGTGAGTACCTTTACAACCATAGCTGAAAAATTTCTGGGGAAATCTAGTAGGTCTAGCCACACAAACAATACAAGAACAATTACAATTAAAAAAAAAACCCCAACTCAGACACTGCCAATATATAGTTGGTAATTCTTTCATAAATGTATTTAATTCATCAGAAAGCATGGAGCCTGTTAAAACTCTACTCTTATTCCTGGTTCTCAAGATAAAAGGAGTACACCTTCTTCACAAGTTCAATTTCGAACAACAGCCAGAGAATGGCTGTACCAAGCAGAGAGGGAGTGAATACAGTTTTGGATCTACTGTTTCACAACTTAACAGAGCTGAACACTCCGTATCCCAACAAGGAATGTAAAAGCACACGTAAAATTCCTGGGTGAGAAAGCATTTTCCCAAGTACCACTTGATCCATTCCTGACTTCTAAGGACACAGTCCGTGGGCTGTATATACACCTGGCATGCAAAAACACCTGTTTAAGTCTTCATACTCTTTCCCTTCACTCATTCCACCTGTATCCACTCTAACTTTACTGCAGAGAAAATATCAATATTCAAGAAATATGTAGTTAACTAGGAAAATCGAGTAATAAAACTGCACAGTCCATCAATTAAAAAATGGGGAAATTCAAACACTAAGGAAAAACTCATTTCAACAAGATGATAGAGTCACAGCACAATAATAATATGGTAAACATTATGCTGCCATTAGTCACCAATGAATAGAAGTTTATATAGTAGCTGTCATCTTCAAAGCATTCCCTAACTTGAGCAAGAGGCTAGATAATTAAGCAACTTGTTTACTGCCAAAGGTCTTAGACCTCAACGTTCTCAACACTTAAAATAAAAAACACTGCCTGTTTTCTAAGGTCCAAATGCCAGCCTGAGTAGGGTAGTGGACGGGAATTTGGATGAGGGTGTTAAGATTTGATCTCCCATTAAGACGTTTTCAGGACAGGGAAGCAAACATGGTGTACACATGAGAGCGGAATATTGAAATTTCCAAGGGAGATTTTCTCGTAATATAATGACCCTTACCTGTGGAAGAAATGCTTGCAAAAACTTCTTGCAGGGAAGGCAGCAGGGTGGAGGGCTCGGCCTTCCAGATGTTCTGCAGCAAGTTACTCACTTTTGTCACCTGCGAGACATACTCCCGCAGCTCTTTCTCCTGGGTGGAGACGCACTGGAAGTGGCCTATCGTTCGAACCAGCTGTTGACAGAAGGTGATGGACAGTTTCCCTTTGGGGATGCACTGCACGAAGTCGGTCAGGAGGTCGCTCAGTCGGGCGCACAGCTGCGGCTCCGGCCGCTCACACACCATCCGCAGCACCTCCACCTGCAGTAGGCTGAAGAGGTCCAGCACCGACGGGCAGCTCATGATCAGCCTCAGGCCATTGTGAATGTAGTCCAGGATGGCTACGTCCTTCCTGTCTAGCGAGTGGTAGCCTTGCTGCAGGAGGCCCAACACGAACGTCTTGTTGAAGAAGGACTCGAACTCCGGCCGGTGGTACCGTGCGTAGGCCTCCAGCACTTGGTGCCCCACCTGCCGCTGAAAGGGGTCCTGGCCCTCCAGGATGAGCCGGGTCGTCAGGTCAAACATGGCCTCGCACTGCGCCTCGTCCAGCCAATTCTCCGCCGACTCCACCACCTTCCGCACAATTACCCGCTTTAGCGGCAGCGGGTGCGAAGAACTCACCAGGCCCTCCAGGATCTTGTCCATGGTCGCCAAGCTGCAAGGCCAGGGCCAAGGGGTTAAGAGCGGGCGGCCACAGCCCGGGCGTGGGGCAGGAGAACCCCGGGGCGGAGGTGAACTTCGAACGCGGCAGCAGTAGCAGGACCGACCACCGCCACCGCCGCCTCAGTAGCCACATTTATCGGGCAGGAGGGCCCATCCAAGCCCAGGCAGGAGTTAGCAAGCCTCGGGCGCGTAAGAACCGGCACCGCCTGCGGCGGGCCTAAGGAGCAAGAGGCCCACACTCCGCCGCCGCCGCCCGGGGCCCGCGGTCTCTCTCAGCATCGGCGCGGAAGGGCTAGCGAGGCCCCCCGGCGGCGGCGGGCACTCAAGGCCCGGGGCTGAGAGCCAGTCGGTGAGGAAGCGCGCCTCCGCGACCCGCGGCAGGTGTGGGCGTCCGGGCTCCGGCAGGTCGTGGGATGAAACCGGTCCTGAGTTGAGTCAGGAGCCGCTGTCACCCAGCGTGCCGAATTAACCCGGGAG